TTTTTTTTTGGCGGTAACCATACCGGTGGTCGAGTAGATCATGTTGTGCGGGGTGGAGGACCCTCACTCCGCGCAAGGGGGATGATCGCACCACGTTGTGTTACAATGGTCAACCACCCTCGAGGCAGTTACACAGTGCTTCTAACTGTCTCTGGAAGTGAAAGCACCAGAATGTAAAGTAAGTCATACGCAGCTGTCATCCGTACGCAAGGAAGTACGCACAAGATACCGAACACCCTTAGCAGGATGCAGCGCACCCTTCATGCGACTCGCCGAATATCTCACGGCGCTTCGCGCTTGGTGATGTGAGAGCCTGGTCCGGTGAGAACCCGGCGTGCTCCGTCCCGGCTTTGTAGGGATGCGAGGTCAATGGCCTAACGACTACGGCATGCACGACTATGAGTACCCCCCCCCCCCGCTGATCAGGCTAATAGCGAGGGTTGTGAAACAAATTAGAAGTGAGTGGTGATGCGTTCTGTGTTCATCTTGTCCATACACCCACCCGTAAGCGGTATACCACAGCATAGAGCGTAACTGAAAATAGCACTTCTGTTCGGAGGATGAAGGCGCCGGTCAAGGGTACTTACTCATCATCATCAGCTTCCCGCAGCACCCTAACGTGTGTCTTGAACGGCGGCGTACTGAAATTAAGGCTCGGAGTTCAAGCGGCAGTAGAGGCGACGATGTCGACCGAAGGTCTGCCCCGGCCGATCAGAAGCCACGATTCCTTCCATTCAAGAAACGTATCCTCCACGTGAACCATCGGTGCCACGTAGTAGTCCCTCTCATACGAGGAGCACAACAACACGGAAGATAAAATCCGGTTGAGAGAGTGTGGGGTGTCTAAAAGGCGGCAAACAGGTGACGATATTAGGTCGCTGGCGTCGTGGCTGCAAAAAAAAAGTGGTTGCATGAGCTGAGATGAAACAAGTAGAGCGCCGTGATGGCTTCCCTCGGATCAATCGCCGACAAGAAACGTCGAACCGCGGTCAAACTGGTAGGTTCCGGCGTCGTGGGTACGAGACAGCAAGCCCGAGGAATACCTGGAATCATTTCAGTAGGACCGAGCGTTTTTCAGAGTCCCAATACCAACTCTTCCAGCGAATTCCGGGGTCTCGAACAATTGGGCAGATTTCAGAAATTACAGGTATTGTCGTGGGTATGACGCTGTGTCTGACAATGTATATGGTATCGTTTCCGTACGAGTCCAAGGGTTTCAGAGTCCCATCCACCGAAGTCCTAATAACCAAATCAACTCCTATCCCTTCAAGTTCATGGCGTCCCTCGGCAGATGGAGATACGCGTGTGCACAGTTATTGCCCTGGAGATGTTATCTATAACCGGGCAGTTGAGCCAATGCTCGACCAATCAACCCCGGACTCGCCCATGCTGGTCGAAACCCATGCAACCGAGCGTAGATCATTCAGAGTAAAAAGGTAAAAATTTGCCACGCAGGACTACAACTTGTTGCTACCTCGCGTTCTTGTTTAAATTCACGACGTAGTCTACCACTAGATTTGGCTTGTTATCAAGCTCCGAACTTCGCCGAAGCACCAAGCAACACGAGTACAAAACCCCTCGAAACAACTAACGTACCACGCACTCCGGAGTACGAGTCTACTGCTTGGAAAGCTCGGGTCAGCGTGTATGTTCAGTCCACTGATGATCCCGTCAAGAAATACCCCAACGGGGCTATGTCCGTATCCCAACGTACTCCCATCCACCTCTAAATCGTGTTGCCCTCTAAAAGGGAACCGCGTTATCTCTCCCCTGCCGGCCGCAAGCCATCGGGTTTCCTCGCATCGGTAGCTGGAGCGGTGAACGCGGCTGCGGCCTGTAGCTTCTTCCGCCGCTCCACTGCCGCCTTGACCCGAGCAATCGCCTGCGGCGTCGGCTTCAACAGCAAGCTGTTCTTTCGGTCCCGGGGGGGGGGGGGGG